AACCTTATAAGCAGTAGCACTAAAAGCCAAGTGTGAAATGCAAAGTCATTTTAAAGTCTCATATCGTATTATCTGTTCAATAATGCAGATTTTATGCCAGAAGAACTTTAAAAGAATATGCAACGGTTTAGGAAAAGTTAAACCGTAATAAAGTTAATGTATAATAATGTATAATAATTGATATAGAGATCAAAGAAAATTTGTATTTGATGAGAAAATTAATGTAGTGATATACGTAAAGTGTCGAAAATGTACCACAATTAACTCATAACTCATACTCATAACTCATAATAACTCATAACTCACTAACTCATTAACTCATAATACCACAATTAATATAATAAATATAATGATTTTAGGGGTTTTAATGTTCGAAATTAATATTAATTCTAATTAATATTAATATTAATTAAGAGAAGAGAGAAAAAGAAAATAATGAACTACTACTGCATTTAAACCGAAATCGCTGAACAATGCTCACTTCCGAAGAAAAAAGTTTCAATTTTAACAAGGCATAAAAACTAACTTACAGACAACTGACGACAATTAGCTTTGCCAAAATTCTTCATCACCTCCAACCGTTATACAAAAATGAAAGTCTGAATGTTTAGAACAGGAAGCTGATATACAAACAAATAATTCAATCGTCACTTCTACCATATATGGATGTGTAGCATTCAGCAAGGCCTCAAAACTACTATTCGCCACAAATTATACAAAACCAGGGTCTGAGAAGATTTTTCAATGTGTCATGGTACATTAAGACAAATGAATTCCTCAGGGATATCAAGATTGATCCGATGAAAAAATATTAAAAGGAGAGAAGCTTGAAATCATTTACGAAAACTGACAGGCTTACCAACACCGCGTTATCGAATCTCAAAATGGTTACAAGCTCCTCGGGGAGGTATGCAGATCTGCGGTCGATTATTGTTTAGTCTGATGAATTGATTAACAATAATCCAGCCAAGGGGTGTTATGAAGAAACCTCGTAGTTAATAGAGTGTTAAAGTCCTCAAGTGCACTGCCTCAACTAGCCGCAATGTATTAGTAATGACTTACAGTTTAGTAGTTTTTCTAACAAAGTTTCAAGAATTCCATTCTGAATGACCTTACTATTTTTATTATTTAGTTAATATGAAACTCAGTTTAGATATAAAGCAGACTATCTTTCTAAAGGTGCGAGACTTCATCGCACAATGAAAATTCCAGTCAAATGTATTGAATTTATCCGCTTTATATGGTTATTTTGAAGATTATACAGTATTACAGAGCTCAGAGCGGTTAATATTATTGTAGTATTATTAAGAAAAATGTGTCTATCGAGTTGATGAGGGATTATGTTGAATAATAAGCAACAGAGCATAGAATAGTCAAAGAGTTGTAACATTACTGAGAAAAATGATTTGAGTTAAAAAGAATTTCTGTCTAAAAATTAATGTCTGAAATTTTATGGTAGATGCTCTTCTTTATGTGAGCGTAAATCTCTTCAGAAATCTTCTGTACTTATTTACAGCTCTTATGCATCAATAAGTAGCAATCCAATGTTCAGTACATGATAACTTTATAATTTCTTATCTCTTAATCATTTGTGCATTTATTATAACAATAA